GCTGCTGATCGGCAACTCCTTCCTGCACATACGTTCGCCACGCACCGCACGCACACAGGGCCGCGCACAACACACACACACACACACACACACACACACACACACACACACACACACACAGATCCGTGCGCTAGCATCACATATCTGGATCTACATATTTAAACATATTGTCTCTACTTTCAATGTTATCCGTGATCGAAGCATTCGGACAGTGCTAACAATAAAATAGCCACCCGCTGGCAACTGTTCGCACTAGAAGATTCGAACATGTAATCTTACGTAAGCCGTTCGATTCCATCCGTGAAGCTGTATTTACAGTGTCGCCAAACAGGCAATAACGAGGCATGGTTAACCCGACGACGCCGGCTACACATGGACCTATAAGCAGTAAAGGCACAAACGCTTTACATATATCACCATGATCGAATAACCTCAAAGAACATTTCGATTTATTTACGTTTACCTTTATTTATTTATTACATTTAGTGATTATTTACCCCTGATATCGTAGGGTGCAAAGTACAAGCCAGTGGCATAAAATTGCAGTGACGGCGAAGGTGATAATGGTAGTCGCGTAGTGGGAGTTGCGGTGATAGCGGTATAGCGGTATAGCGATGAGAGGCGTGGTAGTGTTGTTATCGTATGCTAAATTCAATAACGGATGTCGGATGTTTGCTCGTTGTAGCAACCGCTTTTGCAAAAGCAATCTTTTGTAATAACACGTCCTTTTTGTAATAACATCGCCCACCTTTATGATAAAATCAATTCAATTGCAAAAAAAGGTTAAGCTAATTCACAAAAGTGGTGAACTTATTTCATTATATAGGAGATGACGATTTAGTTAAAAAATGCATAGAAAGTTTTTACAAGAGGTGATAATTTATTTCTGCAAAACTAGAGTGCTAATAAAAAGCTGTTTTTGCAAAATCGCTTACTACAACGATTGAACGCTCCTACTCGAATCATAAAATCACCCGTATCGCAGTAAAAACCTAATCGCAATAGAAATGTACAAATAATACATGTGATTACGAGACAAGCGATAGTAGACTAATACGTGGGCGTGCGATATAATACTCTAATGTCATCGAAATGTTCATGCATAGATTTGTCATTTATTATTCTAAATAGCTTATTATATGTAAACCTGTGCGAGAACGCTGCGGCGATTAATAATGAAATGATACATATAGAAATAGAAATAGAAATAGAAATAGAAATAGAAATAGAAATAGAAATAAAAATAAAAATAGAAATAGAAATAGAATAGAAATAGAAATAGAAATAGAAATAGAAATAGAATAGAAATAGAAATACTATACAAGTAGAAATATACGTGTGACTGACTATACCTGTGTGAATGCCTATGCGAAGCTTCAGTTCTTCCTCCGGATGATGACGAATCTTAAATTTCGTTACCGAGTTCTGAAGTCGTAGAGCCATTCTGGATATTTCGGCTGAGTGGTTGTCGCCATTTCTCACGGGCAGTCCACTTACAACCATATATGCATCCCCAATGGTTTCAACCTATCGTGAAGGTTAGTGTATAGAGCGCGTGAGTTTGTTGTAGTGAAAACGTAAATGTCGCATGATTTCATAGCATTATGTGGAATTATTCTTAGAGTTAATAAAAGTACGGTTATTTCCTCGTAATCGGAGAAAAGTGATCGCTATAAGTAGGCGAGAATGAAGACAACACGCACACGCGCGCACACGCACACACACACACACACGCGCGCGCACGCACGCACGCACGCACGCACGCACGCCCATACGCACGCACGCACGCACGCACGCACGTACGCACGCACACACGCGCGCGCGCGCGTGCGTGCACCCAGACGCACACGCGTGCGCGCGCGTGAGTGAGTGCGCGTACAGAGAGACACCGAGATACGTCACCCACACCAAAACAGGAGAACAAACACAGTTTATCGTGTTACTCGCAGCTGGCCTAGGTTTCCTCAGGGTAGGCTACACTAATTATTTCAGAAGTTGTTGTTATTAAAACGCCTGCTGCGAATCGCTAGCAATATACCTGCATCGGGCTGCTCGATGCACTCAGGGCCGTAAATCCAACGATATCGGAAAAGTAGATTGTCACCCAATCGTATGCTTCCGGCTCTACGCGTTGCCCTATCCGTAGTTTCTCGGCGACGGATCTGTTAACAATAGCGAATGACGTTATCATATATAATACTTACTTACTTACTTACTTACTTACTTACTTACTTACTTACTTACTTACTTACTTACTTACTTACTTACTTACTTACTTAACTAGAGCTTCCATCGAAATCCGCCCGTGTAGAAGATGCGTTACCGCGTTAGTGTTTCAATAGGGGCGTTGTGGATTATATGCTTACTTCATTAAGTGGCGAGGCTGATGATAATCGATGCGTAATTAACATCCTTGATTGGATCTTAGATGATGGAGTCGGAAGCTTAGTCGGTTCACCTTTGTTATCTTTGGCGAACCGCTAGTCTACTATATAGCAAGGATGGGTGGAATACTTTATGTGACTAGAATTCTCCACACGCACGTGCACACGCACACGCACGCACGCCTGCGCGCGACGCGTGGTTTCGCGAGTCCGCCCTTTTACAGCTGTAATATACGGCTGGGAACATAACAGTTGCAGTCCAAAAGGCTACATGATTAGATATACTCGTTGGCTAGCTTACTGTGTCTGTAATTTACAAACACGAGGCCAAGCAGCAAAACAGGGAAAACAATACTATACGTGTGATTCATATGGGTATATATTTACATGATGAATGTATGAACATTTTTGAAACCTAAACTCTTTCGGCTCAAAAGTTGATGGCTGTGATTGGCGAAATATTATACATCTATTTCACTATTCTCTGACGTCATTAAAACAATTAGCACAGACCAATTATAATAGTTGCATGATGACTGTTGACTTATATACATTCTACACAAGTGACACTGCTGTTGGAAACGTTCAGGTTCAATTTACCTGCAAGATGTCGGAATTATTGTACACTGGTATTTTGTAGAAACGATCACATCACGACTATTCTTACATCATTCTATTCTAAATTCTTTGACACCATTACTGGAACAACTCGGAAAAGGGTACTCATGCTAAATATTACTTCTATAATAATGATACTGCATGACAGGCAAAAGGTAGCAATAGTGTAGTGAGCAACGCGTGATTCGGCCCAAAAGATGGCGCTACGAGCAAAGCGCCTTTTTCCTAGTCGGTTTCATCAAGCAGCCAGTATGTTCGCATGACACCTTTGCCCTTCACCTCTACACTGCCTCTCTCTTCCAGGTTGAAGGTTCCGAACGCCTGTAGGAAGTTGTAGGTGTTCTCACTAACGTGAATCTTTCGAGCTGCCAGAAGATGTGAGAAAATGCGCGTTAGAAACCGACATCGTACGTTTTATTTTATTTATTTTTTGTATTTTTTGTAATAAGACGGAATATAAATATTTGTATGATAATTTTCTTAGATGAAATAATCACCCTGGCGTTAGCTGCTATCGGCAACTCCTCCTCACACACGTACGCGCACGCACGCACGCACACAGGCGCGCGCACACACACACCACACACACACACACACAACAACACAACACACACACACACAAACCACACACACACACAC